GGGTTTAAAGCGCATAGTGGAGGTTCAAGAAAAAAAATAAAAAACCAAAAAACGAAGACCAAAAACAAAGCTAAATAAAAAAGACACCATAGAACTACCAAAAAAATAAAGCGGGGTCATAGTCATACTAGTGAGCACGAGGATTAAACCCCAAGCTTGACTGCCGGCACCATGGGGGGGTTTCCCCGGGGGGGGGGGGGGGGGGGGATGAGGGGAATGACCCTCCCTGTTTTAACCCATAATTTGATATTTTGCAGTTAAGTTGGAAATTTTCTTGAAAATAACTGATTTACGACAGTTTTAGGGGCTAAATGTGTGATCTGCAGCAAATAGTACGCAATTTGACTCCGAATAGTTCCTGGGTGCTCGCCGGAGACGTCTCCGAATATCTTCTGCCGAATACTAGGTAGCTCGAAAGGGGAGTGAATTTGATAGTGATCATGGTGAGCAAAGAATCCGGGACTTAGATCAATTTGATTCTCACTCGAAAGCAGAAATCTTCAAAGACGGATGCCAATTGAGTATCAACTAAACATTTCTTATTTTTAAAGAGCAACTGTAAGCTTAATTTTCGATACTAAGCATCTGTCAAATTTAATCATTCTCTCTCCTGCAATCTGGCAAGACATTTAACACATGATTGACGATGAATGGTGCTTAAAAAATCACCTCTTTGACCAAGTATTTTTGTAGCATTGTAAGAGCTCAAGCCAATTATAATTTGAATTGCACAGCCATTTTTTTACCCTAGTAATGTATGGTCTTGTATGATTTTCCTGTCTTTTCGCAATTAAATGTTGAATTACATAGCCATCTTTCAACCTAGTTTTTGTATGGTCCGGCATAATTATTTTCCTGTCTCTTCGCATATGAAGGGCTCACACGTATTCTTCCATAAAGAATAGTGTCAAGACGACCACCTTAAAGAAATGATGAATAGTTCAAGATCAATCACGTCATTGCGCTTTAACCGCAAAAGCCTTTTCATGCTATTGCAATTATTGTTGGCAGCATGAATGGCTATAGTGGCGGATACATTCTGATCAAACTATGAAGAAAATAACATTGACAGTCGCATTTTAAAGTATTGGTAGCACACTGAAAGAATGTAGAAGGTAACGTTGTTGATGATGATGATGATGATGATGATGATGATGATGATGATGATGATGATGATGATGATGATGATGATGATGATTACGACGACGACGACGATGCTGATATGATGATGATGATGATGATGATGATGATGATGATGATGATGATGATGATGATGATGATGATGATGATGATGATGATGATGATGGTGATGATGATGGCGGCGATGATTGAAACAGTGAGTACACATAAATAGTGTCATTTTTAAAAAAGAGCAAAGTTAATGTTAACATAATTATTATCGTCGGTGACTTACCTGGTTTTGGCTTGGGTGAACGAACTCAGAATAAATGAGACAGACGACGAGAGGGGTCCAGCAAATGATGAAGATGGTTAGGATGACAACCAACATGACAACGATCTGGGGGAAAACAGAGGAAAAAAACAACCCAGTTATAATTTTTGGATATAGATCTTTTACGCCTCCATCGACACGATTGTGGCCATTTGGCAGACGGGTTTAGATCCAAGGCCAGCTCGGGGTGAGTGGGATAAAACATACAACGTTCCAGCAGAAAGTTGGAGATAGTAATACTCCCTGTACAAAAATCGAACTTGAGTCTTTTGTGTGCGACGGCGAAGCGCTTAACCACTACACCACAGATACCGGTCTTATAATTAAATTTGTCTCGCGAAGCAAAATGCCCAGATTAAGAGAAAAAAGCAAAACTTAAAACTCAGTCCCCCCACCTCCAGTATCTTTACAAATAAGGGCAAGTGCAAAGTACTGAGAAATATTATTATTATTATTATTATTATTATTATTATTATTATTATTATTATTGTTATTGTTATTATTGTTATTATTATTATTGTTATTATTATTATTATTATTATTATTATTATTATTATTATTATTATTTTATTATTATTGTTGTTGTTGT